ATCTATCTAAAGATAGTTTTCTATTTAAGAAATTTTTTAAACTAAAGTATTTTAGTTTATTTACTAAGGCTCCATTATCATTACTATTAGTCTTCTCATCGTTCCTATCACCCATCTCCTCCCACTTATGACTGCAGGACTGTAACTTTGTTGCTGGTATTCTTACGATTTATATTGATATTGTTTCCTGATTGCTTATTTGTATCCTATGACAATCATTAAGTGGTGTACCTTATGATTCTTGATGAATGTGTTTTTATGTACATTGAGAGCATCTGCACCAAAGACAAATTCCTTGCATGTACAATCACACTTGGCCAATAAAGAATGCCATATTCTATTCTATTTAGTTTATTCCACATGAAATGGAGCTTAGTTATGTAGCATGAGACTGTATATTCTGCAATATTGGGACTGTTGAGGAGTCAACATCAGGTCAGAGGATGAGCTGCTGCGGGACAGAGATGACAGTTGCTCTTTAAAAATTATGATTTAAATTGATTTGATGTAAATCAAGCCTTTTTATTAGTGATTTAAATCAAATCTACCCTGGTCACATTATAGAAATGGAAATCATGGCAATGTCAGGGAGATCTGAATTAAGGCTTTTCTCAACCCTTTTTGGTTCCACTGTTGAATATTCCTGTCTCTAAAGTGAAGAGTGGAAGGAGTCACAACTGGGTATTAACACGGCCCATTTGCCCGGAGACTGAGGTAGAATTTGAGGCCACTCTCTCTACTCCTCCCCCTGACTCCCTAGATTAACCTCAATCTTCAGCCCAGAAGGAATACTTTTTGCTGGCTGCCCATTTGGTTTCAGAGGATTTGTTGCTTTAAATTTTAGTTTTTCGTTTATTCTATTTGTGCTTCCTCCCACCTCTCTCCCTTGCATCTCTGTTCTAAGTTACCTTTCCCCTTTTGCACAAGCTGGGCTTGCTGTACTAGCAAGGAGCCCCCAAGCCGCTGGGCGGTTACAGGGGAGACTCCAGGCCTCATGCCAGAGAGCGCTGTACCACACAACCCCTGGACTCATCAGAAGGGGCTGCGGAACGCTGCGGAGGCTGCTGAAGGAGAGGCTCAGTCAAAGCCGGCTCGGCATCAGGCCGCATGGTCAGCAGTCGCCATTTTGGACAGCGGCCATCTTGGGACGCACGTGGCTGGAGCTCGGACATCGGCGCTCCTGTTTTCAGCTGCCGCAAACACCCAGAGCCACCGCCGGGGTCCGGAAAAGATTCTTTGGGCCTGTGCTCCGCCGGTGATCCAGGGAGGGCCTTCGGTTCGGCGGTGGGCTGGCTTCTTTGAGCCGCGGATCAACAATGTAGCTACAGATAGCACCGGTTCGAAGGAGCTCCAAACCACGAGCAGAAACCCAGGCCGGTTTACAGAGTAAGAGAAGGTGGTGAAACAGCAACTGTTAAGTAGGGGTGATGGCGGATGCCCCGAGGAGCAGCCCCTAGATCATCAGGGGATTCCAATTCGGGCAAGGGGACCTCCCGTGGAGCTACCGCAGTAACGAGGAAGAGGTCTATCTCGAAGAAGGCCACCTCAAAGTCGGCTAGGAAGAGAGTGCCTAGCAAGGAGGCCCGTGTTACCAGAGCTGCAGGCAGAAGGATTAGGGAGGAAATCAGCCCTTCCCCATCCAGGTCACGCTCCCCTCTCAGGCCTTCACCTTTGCCAGAGGTCTAACTGGGTTCTCCAGGTTCCCCCCGTGGCTCTGCAAGGGAGGATAGCCCACTATTCCCTCCTCTATCTCCTGCGCAGTCTTCAGAACACTAGGGAGACCCCTTTGAGGGGAGGAGGATTCCCAGGGAGGAGGTAGTTCTGCGCCAGGGGAGTCTGGATCATCCGGATCCAGAGTAGCTCCAACTAACTGCTTGGCACTTGAGCGGGAGCAGCTGAGGGAGGCCCAGTTCTCCACCTGGGACCATTGAAGCTTCTAGAAGGAAGTCCACCACGCACATCTATGATGCGACCTGGGATTCCTTTGTAACTTGGTGTAGGTCTGCCCAGGTGGATCCGACCACAGGGCTGGAGTTTCTCCAGGATGTTGTGGAGAAAGGTCTGGCCCACAGTACCCTTGGCAACGGTCATTTGTGCCAACCTTTGTCCCAACACCCGGTCATAGAGGTTCCTCAGAGGGGCTGCTAATCTTCGGGCCTTGTGGTCCATTGTTTTCCCACCTGAGACCTTCCCACAGTGCTCCAGGCCCTTATGGAGGCGCCTTTTAAGCCTCTGGAAAGGTAACATTCCAGCTCCTAAGACTCAAGGTGGTTTTCCTGGTAGCCATTACCTCAGCTAAGTGGGTGTCTGAGAACAATGCCTTATCCGCCAGGGCGGACCTGTGCACCTTCTATGAAAACTAGACCCGGCTTTCCTGCCCAAGTGCAACACCCCCTTCCATAGGGCTCAGGAGGTGGTGCTTCCGGACTTCTGCCCAGTACCTTCCAGAGAAAGGGAAAGGTCTTGGCATCACCTGGATGTCCATAGGGCACTGTGTATTTACCTCAAACGCAGAGTTGCCTTCAGGACGTCAGAGGCGCTTTTTGTCTCCTTCCAGATTTCTACCAGAGGGGCAAAGGTATCACCTGCCACTATCAGTAGGTGGATTAGACTAGCTATAACTAAGGCTTATGAGGCCCGTGCGATCCCGGTTCCAGGGGGCAACACTGCACACTCCACAAGGACTGAAGCAATCACTGCGGCCTGGGCCACCCAGGCACCCATTGAGGATATGTGTAGGGCAGCCGCTTAGGCTTTGTCCTCTCTCTTCATTAGGCATTACCGGCTGGATGTCTATGCTTCTGCGGAGGCATCCTTTGGTAGGAAGGTTCTCAAGGGAGTGCTGGACACTTGGGGGGCTCAGGCCCAATGATTCCCTCCCATGGACATCTAGCTTTGGTATGTCCCAGTTGTGACTCCTCCCACGCCTCACTTCGGAGACTGTCAGTTGGTCTTACTGAACTGCATGTCTTGAAGTTGCCGTGGGAGGAGTCACTTCCCGCCCGTTCAGGTGCACTCCCACGCATGGGGGGGGGGGAGCTGATTGAGTTAGTTATTGGTCAGTCAGGCTTTTCTGCGACTGGACCATTGGTTAATCTGTGAAGTCAGGAGGAGTAGAGAGAATGGCCTCAAATTCTATCTACGTCTCTGGGCAAATGGGCCGTGTTAATACCCAGTTGTGACTCCTCCCACACCAACTTCGAGACATGCAGTTCAGGTAAGACCAACTGACATTCCCTGCTTTCTGTAATCCAAAACACTATTATTATTCTCAGTCGGGGCTGAATAAAAATTAATACTATAATTTACAGTGACTCCCTAAAATATAATAAAGTATGCTTTGTGAATGTACAGTAAAATAAATAACCTCGCCAAGCAATCTTCAACAGTCTTTAAATTGCTTACAAAACTGCTAAAGCCAAAAAGATAAAATATAAGTATTTATTTTAAAAAATGAGTTGCATGCAGTATAGATAATATGACAGAAATTTTTATCCAGAATTTTTTTTTGTTCTCTTACATACCATTTTAAGTATTCATTCACATACCGTATTTTTCATAGTATAAGATGCACCCTTTTCCATCAAAAAGGGGCTCCCCAAACCCCGCCCCTTCACCAAAATGGGCTTGCAGAGAGCTCCTAGGGGCTGGGGATGGCAGAAATGAACGGAAAACAGCCCTTTTTTTGCCCCTTCCCCACCTCTCCAGCAGCACTCTATAAGCTAAAGGCTATGCATGCAATTTTTTTGAGAAAAAACAGGCCCGTTTTCATGACAAACGGGGCATTTGTTGCTCATTGGGGGGGCATCCCACAGGAGCACTCTGCAAGCCCCCTAAAGGCTACATGCCTTTTGGGGGGGGGGGAATGGGTCCATTTTTGCGAAAAATGGACTCTTGGGAGGATTGCAGAGTGCAAAAACTTTTTAAAAAAATTTACCTCTTCAAAACCTCGGTGCGTCTTATACTCCGAAAAATTCTTCTTCTTCTCTACATTTGTCACTTATGCATTTATTATTTTATTTAATAGGTTATAATAGTTTGGATTGCTTTACCATCCATTCCTCCTCTTGTAACACCACTTTATTTTCCCTTTTTCTCCCTCCCTCCCTTCTCTACTTCCCTTACATTTCTCCTACACTTTCTACCCTCTACCCTCTCTCCTTCTCTTCCTCTCCCTTCCATCCTCCTCTCCTTACCTCTTTCCCCCATCTTCCTTTCATTCTCTCCTCCTCTCTCCCTTTCTTTTCTATTGTTGTAGGTGTCTCTTTCAGATCTCAGTTTATGTTTCCTTGGGATGGTATTTCCATCAACCCAAATACAATTTAGTATCATTTTTTATTCCCTTACCTTTGCTAGTCTATCCTAGTTATGTTTCCCCTCCTTTAAATCTTGCTTTTGAATATATACTTATATATTTAATATTTTCTTTTCTGTTTTCCCCTTCTTCCCCACCTTTTCCATTTAACAGTGCATCGTCTGGGTTCTATATCTTCTCCCTACTTTCTTTTCTAGTTTCCTTTCTCTAGCCAATCATAAAATCTTCCTCATGTCTTGAAGTACTCTGATTCCTCTTTATCCTTTATTTTCATTATCTACTTATTTATCTCTGCACAATCTAATATATTTTTCATTATCTCTTCATCTGTTGGTAGCTTATTTAATTTCCAATTTTGGGCAAATACAATTCTTGCTGCTGTAGTTACATGTATAATCAAATAAGAACCCCTTTTCTTGAATTTCTCTGGGATAATACCTAGTAAATGACAGAAATTTTTAAGGGTTCATTTAGTCTCACAAACTGGGATTTCATCCTTTGATACACACCAAATATAGCAACTCTATCTGCCCAAAGGAAACTTTGAAGAATTGTCTGATTACTTATCTCTCTTTATTCTACCGAATAGAAACATCCATCCAACATTGTGATATAAATAAAAAACGATGACCCACCGGTAATACAACATCCGCCAATTGTAAAGAACGCCAATTCAAATCTTCCCCTGGTTTTACTAGCTCCAGTAGGTAAAATGAATTCATCTGTATCCTGAAACAAAAACAATCCTTTCCAGCAATATCTGCATATAAATTCCTTAGTTTCATAAAATGAAGCACATGATAATCTTTTACTCTTAAACTGTTAATTTTCTGTCAACCCAGTAAATAAAATAGAAGGGAAAAGTGTCTACCCATTTTCCCTTTGAATGTTCAAACAGGTATTAGTGAGCCCAACAAAAGCAAACAATTGTATTTCTATAGTACAAATAAATGTTATTTTCTTTAATCCAGCATTCAGTGACAAGCTGTAATATGCTCTTAATCCCATATTAGTTACTATCAACATGGCTGATGTATATAAGCTGTACCAACACTGCTGCATAATATCCTCTGCTTCAGAAATTAAAGCCAACTTATACATGTTCAATTTGTGTATGCTTTCAGACTAGTGCTGACCAGGAGGTTGTCTGCTCAACACACTCTCAGAAAAGCACAATACTGTTAACGCTGGGTGTCAGTTATCTCCAGAACGGAGAAAATGACAGACAGCTAAACACACAGTATCTTTCTCTCCCAGCAGTGTAACACTGTCAAAGACACAGTTCTGACACAGACAGCTGACCACCGCTGGGATTTAGGAACAAAATATATTCAGCTCTGAGATTAGGGCCAGGTTTATAGAAGGGAAGGACTGGAAAAACCCACAGGGAAAAAAAATAAGAACCTTTCACTGAGGTTTCTTTCTAAAAAATAAAAATGGATCATGAAAGTGTCTCTAATATTTTCTTTTTAAATGATATAAAGCAGGGGAAAAAACCTGATACTTTTTCAAATTCAAAAAATGGACCCACCTAACTTTCCATTTGACAGTTGGGGAAAAAGGAAGATATATTACATCCAAATAGAGTGGAAATAAATTTGTACCATAACAACTTAGGTTACACAGGCTTATGTGACTTATTTAAAATCTAAGTTAGTATTATTCATGACAGAGAAACCCATTTGTTTCTTGCTTGACTTCCTCAAATACTTTGTGGGAGAAATGCGTTTTTACCTGGCCAGCCAGATGTTTTCAAGAAGTCCTCTGGTCAGAGGATAAAGAAAACAGTTCCTGACCACAAACAACTGTGTTCACCTGACTGCCAAGTCTTCATGTGCAACTTTTTAGTTACCTATTTTAATCTTATTCAAAACCACTATACAGCTAGGCCTTCACTTACAACAGTTCATTTAGTGACTGTTCAGTTACATTGGCACTGAAAAAAGAAAACTAGTAAAATGGGGCAAACTCACTTAACAAATGTTTCATTTAGCAACATAAATTTTAAATTTGAGCTCAACTGTGATTGCAACTTGAGGACTACCTCTATTATACATCAAATCATTTACACAATCACACAAAAAGTTGATTCACAAACTACACATCGAGCAATCACGATGTCTTACCTGTATAAGATATCTGGGGTCAACATTTAAATAGGGGGACAAGGGATTCATTCCAGTCACTGAAAGAAAAAAAAAGGTTTCAAATTGGAAAGCATACCAAGGTAGTATAAAAAACAGTTCAAAGAAAGAGGGCTACAGGTAATGCTAGACTCAGAACCATTCATTTAGTGACTGTTTGACATTATGACAGCACTAAAAAAGTGACTTACAATCGCACTCTCACAACATCCCAACGTCGCATGATCAAAAATTGGGCGCTTGGCAACTGGAATGTATTTACAATGGTTGCGCATTCTGGGGTCATGCGATCACCATCTGCCATGATCCCAGCCAGATTCCAACAAGCAGAGTGAATGAGGGAAGTTATATGCACTTAATGACCAGATAATTCAGTTAAGTGTGGCAAGAAAGGTTGTAAAATTAGATGCAATTCACTTAACAACTGCCCTGCTTGGCCCTGAAAATTCTGGTCCCAACTGTGATTGTAAGTTGAGGACTCTCTCTACTCTCTCATAAGTAGAGTGAATTCCTAAGTGTGCTTCAATTTAAATCAGGTCTGAGGGGCAGGAAACACAAGATCAGATTCAAAAGGATCTGCAAGCAGGTTTCCTTTAATAAGAATATATAAGCATCAATGATCAGCTGTCAGTTAAAAATTTGAACTTATAGGCATGGAAGTTTTTTTTCTGGGCAGTTCTGGGTTTCTACCCTAATTATGTCCTTCCTAATATATAGGATTTGAAAAAGAAAAGAAAAAAAAAAGCTTATCAGCAAGCTATGTCCCTGAATCTCTGCTTGCCAGCCTTCAATTTTTCTTAACTATTTAGATGAAACCTAACGTCAGGGACACATATTAAGGTACCTCCAGCCAAGGCCGGACAAAATGTCCTAGATTGCATATAAACTGTATCAAGCAATTCAATCAGCTTTCAATATGTGAAACCTCATTCCCCAGGATTAAGTTAAAGTTTCAAAGAAAGTAATAACTGCCACATTTACAATTTACTATAGTTTATAATTGAACCATGGTGGCAGTAGTTAGAGTGCAGTATTGCAGGCTACTTCTGCTGACTGCCTGCAATTTGGCAGTTCAAACCTCACCAGGCTCAAAGTTGACTCAGCTTTCCATCCTTCCGAGGTGGGGTAAAATGAGGACCCAGATTGTTGGGGACAAGAGGCTAACTCTGTAAACCGCTTAGAGAGAGCTGTGAAGTGATATATAAGTCTAAGTGCTATTGCTATTGCACAATGACTGTGCAGGGATGCTAAATTGCCTTGCTACAGAAGCCTAAAGCTGGACCTATAATATTCCACAAGAACAGCATGGGAACTGAGCAAGTGACTCCACGCCCCACGTACTCTGGATGGGCTCAAACATTTATCATTCCAATTAATCAACAAACGATGGCTGAGGATTTTGGGACTAGTAGCATGACCCAGCTCCGGAAGAAAAGCAGGTGGAGATGCCCTGATTCAGCAGTAAAGCAAGGCCTAGACGAGAGATTCCAAAGGGCTGCTGAGGTTAGCCTGGCAAAAAATAAAGGTAGTCCGAGGGAGACTTTTCCTAAATGACTTCCAGGAAGAGGAAGGTTGGGATCTGGGAGGCGAAGGGAAGCCAAGCTCCTTCCTTCAGGGGAGACAGGCAAGGGGGGGGGGGTGAACACGTGCTCTCCGGATGGTGCTTGAACCACTTCTCGATAAAAGGCATCAGGGAGGGATTAACCCTTTCCTCGCTGACGATGATGATGGCGACGAAAACCGAAACCTACAATGTATTAACATCGCTGTACCCGGAGACGCCGGAGTGGAAGAAAAAGAACTGAAAAAGATCCCTCCATGACACAACCGCCTCCCCACCTCCCCACAAGTCCTCTTCGTCCCGGCCCCGTCCTCCCAGCCGCACCACGTGCTGCTGCGGCTGGTTCCGCTCAGCAGGAGACGGAGCCCCCCGCCCTTTCCCAACCGCCCAGCCTCCATTGGACTCCCGGCCTCTTTCCCGCTCCCTCCCAAGCCCCCCCACACACCTAGCCCCTTCCCAATCCCCCTCCGAGGGAAGCGGCCAGGGCCTCTTACAAGGGACGCCGGCCAGGTCGGCGTGGGAATAGCCCGGCCCCGCCACTCCTCCAGCGCCGAAGAGGCCGGCGAATCCGGACCCCTTCGAGTTCCCCGCGCCTCCTTCCATGCTGGCGGCGATGGCGGAGGCCTCAGGCCGCCCTTCGCTCCTTCTCCTCGCGTTGCTCTCGGCGCCGCCCCTTCCGCTCCTGGAACCGGAAGCTCCCCTTCGGCGCGCGGACGACCTCTAAGCGCCAGAAGCGTGAGCGGCCGGCGCGCCGCGTGCCCATAACGTCATCACCTCGCGCCGCCGTCCGCGTCTCACTCCCCCCTCCGCTCTCTTTGCGACACTCGCTTTCCGGCTCGGCGGGGAAAGGAGGAAGAGTGGGGACGCGTCCGTTGTCCTCCGTCCCCCGGGGGTGACCTGGGTCGCCCCCCCCCAGCATGAGCGCGGGGCCCGAGTGTGAACCCCCCGGGAAAAGGGCTCGCCTGAGTTCCGGCTTCTTCCCTTCCTCTCAGGCGGTGGTCTCGCAGCCCCTGCCGCCTCCCCGCCGCCGGGAGGAAGGGCCCGGACCCGGCGGCCCCTCAGCCACCGTGGGGAACAAAGGTGAGCTTCCCTATTTCCCCTCCCCCCCCCGGTTGATTGAGACGGGGAGGGATGGGAGGCCACCAGGAGATCCCTCTCCTGACCCCCGGTGTTCCTTCGCCGTCTGCCTCCCCCCCCTTTTAAATTGGGGGCGGTCCCCCCGATCGGAAGCCGCCTTGTGTTCAGCCTGTGACTTCAGGCCCTGCTCAACGCGGGATGCCCCCCTCCCCCCACTAAAGATGCTTTCGAGCTATTAAACCTAGTAGGTGGAACACCCCCCCCCCTTATTAAAGAGAGGCTGCAGTCAGCTGCAGGTGGTCCTCGACTTTCCACCGTTTCTTGAGTGGCCTTTAGAAGTCACAAGAATTCTTGGGGGGGGGGAGGAAGTGACATGATTGTTTTTTAATACCTGGGACGGCTGTAGCATCCTCGGAGGGTCACATGATCAAAATTCAAACACACTGCAACTTGTTCCTATTTAGGAGGGTTGCAGAGCCCTGGGTTCATGTGACCTGGCCAGCAAAGCCAACGTGGCAGACAGATTCACTTAACAACAAGTGGCAAGAAAGGCTGCAAGTTGAGGCCTACCTGTAGCTGGATCGAAAGAGCGACACTTTGGTAAACGACACTTGCATATTTGGATACGCAAGGGATGCTGAATACTTTGGTGTATTGTCTCAAACTGATGACGTAGCCTCCCTGCCAATTAAATACTAGTGTAAATGTATTAATTTATAGAGGTCTGTTTTAAGATTGGTATGTTTGGTCCAACCTTCCCACTTCCAGTAAAACTACTGTATATTTCCTTCCAGTTTACAAACAAAAGAGGATTACCTCCTGGATGGAGAACAAAGGACCCAGAACGGTAGAATCTGAAAGGTAAAACAAAAACAATATTCTAACTAACTTTATTTCTGCTGCAGCCTCCTATAGGAACGGCTACTGCCAGATTCTTCCACCAGAATGCTAATAGTCCTCCAAAATGTTAGCTTTTGCTGTTATGAGATGACTTTTAGTGAAGTGTACTTTTATTAACAAAGATGCCAACAAAAAGAAGAAACGGTGTAAGCAGTGATATGTGTCACAAAGCTGATATCAGACACAGAGGGCCTGCTTCTCATTTGGAGCGTTTTGTAAAGGAAGGGTGTTTAATCACACTTGGCTCGGTTTGATTGCTTAGTTTATCCTTGTCATTTTTTAATTACAACTTACTCATTGCAGTATTTTGGGCATTTTTATGGGAAAACACTATACCTGTTGCATGTTATTTGTGTTGTGTGTTGTGGAGCTTTTCAGCTTTTAGAAGCTGTCAATAACCATATTTTTAAAAAAAGTCAGAAAAGAATCCTGTCCTTTGGTATGCTCAAATTTTTTTTTAAAAAAGCAATATGGGTAATTCCTCAACTTGCAACCACAATTGAGCCCACATTTTATCTGTCAACCAAGAAAGCTAAGTGACTTTTGCCCCATTTTATGACCTTTATTGCCACATTGGTTAAGTGAATCATGCGTTTAAGTGAGTAACACAGTTGTTAAGTGAATCTGGCTTTCCCAATGATTTCGCTAATCTGAAAGTCACAAAACATGATCAAGTGGCCCTGGGAGATGCTGCAACCATCATAAATACATGGCAATTTCCCAAATACTTGAATTTTAATCAGGTAACCATGGGGATGCTGCAATGGTCATAAGGGTGACAAACGATCGTAAGTCACTTTTTTCAGTACAACTTTGAATCGTCAGTAGACAAATCGTTGTAAGTCAAGGGCTTCCTGTACTATAGCAAATTATAGAAATACTTTAGAAGTACACGGTCCTTTGACCTCATGGTGGAATTAGGATAGAAACTAATCTAGAAAAATTAGAAGGAAAGCAATGCTCAAATCAAGCTTTCTAAAAGCTTTTTAATATTTTACTTCGGAGATAAGCAACTGGGTGCCCTCCAGATGTTGGGATACCAATTGCTAGCAGCCTGGCCAGTGGCATAGAATTGTGTTTCCATTTTTTTGTACAACACCTTGTATATTTTTTTTTTCAGACAAAGCAAAAGAAGCAACATGGAAGCAGAATCCCAAACGGCCTTTGTTAAAAAAGATCGCATTTTCGACCATGATGCCAAAAAGGTCGAAGGCCTCTTCCAGCAGGGCTGCTCAGATTTATCCACAGAAATGAGCACCAAGCAGTGTTTTTTTCCTCCAGCTGAGGGCAGCTGTAGGGATAATCTATCTGAAGCCGAGGCTCTGAAACAAAGACAGGCAAGCGAGTCCTTGGAAAACATAAATGTTCACCAGGTATACAAAACTGGCACTCAGGCTTATCAAGCCATTCCTGAAATCCAGGAAAACTGTCCCGCCAGGAAGCTTTCGATAAGCAGCCCCACAAAGATTCCAAATCTAAAACAGGCTTCCAAAGACTGGGCTGCAAAAGAAGCAACTCTGCAGAATCCACAGCTGTTGAAAAATTTCAGCTCTGAGGATCCAGTAGGTGTTAAAGCTGAGCCAGACGAGGCAGACTTGATCCCGGAGAGCCCACTTTCCGATCTTTATGGCTTTCGGGACAGAGATCAGGGGCACTTAGGGGAGTCACCCTCTTTTGAGAAGGAGAGTGAGCCCGAATCGCCAATGGATGTGGATAACTCCAAAAACAGTTGGCAGGGGTCGGAGATGGATGAGGAAATCAGCCCCCTTCTCGAGGACCACGGAGATCTCGATGTGTCGGAAGGACCAGGCAACACCCCCCAGTTCCAGAGGGCAGAGACTGACCCGGATTCCAGAAAGCGACAGTTTGCACCACTGAAAAGTGAAGGAGCCCGATTTAGCCCCAACACCGAAGTAGTGGACAATCCCTGGAAAGATACTGAAAGGCACTCGGAAGTATTGGGACCCTCGCCTCACCTGGCATCGGAGGGCCGAAGTGCCAAGCACGGGGGAAGGAAGGACTCTAAAATTACCTCCCATTTCCCACGGGTCCATAGAGGGGATGAGAAAAGGTATTGCTTCTCTCTCCACCCACCCCCAGTCAGAGGACAGAGGAAAATGGAAAACAGATGTTTTCCATTACAATGTGACAAAATCACCGGATGGCATAGGACAGGAGAAGAGGTTTTAGGGATGGTGCAAAACTCTCTTGAGTTTTTAAAAGGCTTTTCTTTGTTCCATTATTCTATTTTGTCGGTACAAATTTGGAATAAAATACAACTGATCCACTATTCTCACAAAATAATATCAGAAGTTGCAATTTGGAAGTGGGCCCCTAATATAGTGATAATAAAGGAAAAATCATTTGTAGTTTTCTGAATTTGATTGCTTTTAAGGATCAGATTCACTAATACTGAAATTGCTGCTGTTTTGCTATTGAGTAATTTGGCTAGTTAGTTTGACATGTTGATGGACAGTACTAAATACAGCTGGTTTTAACATACAACCACAATGGAGCCCAAAATTGCTGTTCCTAAGCAAGATAGCTGTTGTGAATTTTGCCCCGTTTTAAGACCTTTCTTGCTATAGTTGTTAGGTGAAAACCACTGTAGTTGTTAACTTAGTAACACGGTTGTTAAGGGAATCTGGCTCCCCCATTGACTTTGCTTGTCAGAAGGTTGCAAAAGTGGATCACATGACCTTGGGGACGCAGCAATAGTTATAAATACGAGACAGTTGCCAAGCGTCTGAATTTTGATCACGTGGCCATGGGGATGCTGCATTGGTAATAAGTGCAAAAAAGCGGTCATAAGCCATTTTTTTCAGTGCTGTAGCAAATTCAACCAGTCACTACAAATTGTTGTAAATAACAGATTTCCTGTATTTCATCCTTGTTAGTTTTAGTTTTTATTACGGTCCTGTTTCTTGCTAATTGTTTTTCTTTCTTCAATGAACGTTTTAATCTTTCAATGACAGGAGTGAACACCGCCCAGGAAGGAAGCATTGTAGATATACCCCTCCTTCACTCCCAACTAACAAAAAGTGGTTTGGGACCCCAATTGAAGAGATGCGAAGAATGCCAGTCTGTGGGCTTCATCTTCCTCATTTGAGACCATCTGCCAATCATACGGTTACAATTAGAGTATGACATTTCCTTTACTTGCAAATCTTTCCTCCAGAGTGGCCCTGGATCCACTCTCTCCCATTACATCTTGACATTTTGTAGGTTGAGGAAGTACTTACAGTGCTACATTCTGATACTCCCAAACTCTGGGTCTCAGAAAGAGTGAAAATTGGAAGTCGGTGATATCATTCACTCATACAAGCGTAGGTATTAACAGGTTTGGTTTAGTGCTGTGTTAAAACAAAAGTAAGGAAGTGAGAAGCAAAACATCTTCAATGAAAAACTAGAAAGTCCAGTTGTCTCTTGAAAAAAACACCTTTGGGGCAACCATGACCTGGATGACTGAGAAGCTCCATAGACATTTGTTCCCATTTGTCTGCTCAAATGGGACTCCAGGTGGAGAAGAAAGGAAGGAAATCTTGTATCAGTTGTACAAGCAGATTTTTTTAGATGAAGTGTTGTGCCCATACATAAATTGCTAGTCAATTCTGAATATATCTAAGCCAATATGATGTGTTATTTTTCTGTATTTTATTACAGCAACTTGCTACAAATTCATTGAGAAAGAGAAAATCATGTAATATCTATTTGATGTAAAACGAGCATAGGTTGCATTGTATGAAGTAAAGTCAATAATTAGATATAGTTACAGATATTCTCTCTAAATATGTATAAAATATATTTAAATATGTGTAAATATATTCAGGCTTAAAGTCTCTGAAAGTGCGAATGGCACCTAAAACACCAAGTAACGCAGTTCACAGCTAAATACCCAAATTTGTACAAAAATAACAAGATTTTTTTGGAACATGTCAGAAAAGGTCTCCATATATCAATGCTTTCCAACCTTAAACATTTCTAAAATGTTTGGGCTTCAATGAGTAGAAGAATTTTCAGAGTTGAAGTCCCCACACCTTAAAAGTTGCTAAGGCTGAGAAACAACTTGGCACATGATTTGGTGGTTGCAAAAACCTTGAAGTGTTGCAGATATGGAACTTCAGCTTAAAGGTGATTTGCTTCTGTTTTTCATCCTGTCTTCTCTGTTTCAGGTAGATCTTCTGAAGGAAGGAGAAGTACCTAAACCTTTCCCAACACATTATAAGGATTCGTGGGACAATAAACACGTGAAAATGCCTTGCTCAGAACAGAATTTGTATCCTATAGAGGATGAGGTGAGGCAACGTTACTGCTTAAGCAACAGGATCCTCTGTGTCTCTTAGCTGCCCTCTAAGGGCCTTTTATAATCTTGGTCTTACTGGAGGATCACATTTGTTGACCAATTGTTTCTGATGTGCAGGATGCATTGTCTGTAATCATCAATATATTGTATAAATCTAATATCCATGGCAGCTGTTTTGCTGTTTATAATTAGTAAAACTTTTGTAACAATGACAATTACATTTCCATAAACAAATACTTTCATGATGTACGAACCTGTGGTTCCAGCTTGTTCTATATTCACAAGTAAATTTCAGTATTAGAAAATGATCATTTTATTGGGTAAGTGGTCCCAATTTTACTGGGGTACCTCGGTACTGAGCATTAACTGGTTCCAGGAGGTGCGATGAGTACCAACAATGATGACCAAACGGATTTTCCACATAGGGATCTTCCACATAGTGAGTCACAGGGCAGCTGACAACAACAAGTTCTAGATTGTGCACGTTGAGTCCCAAACAAGGTTGGACTGTGCAATTCTTGAAAAGCGCTTGCCAAGTTACTGATGGGCTTAGATAAGTCTGAACAGTTAGCACCACTTTTTGCTGGTTACGTTTAGAGATAGTCCCCAACCTATGGCCACGGTTGAGCCCAAAATTTCTGTTGCTAAGCAAGACATTTGTTAAGTGAATTTTGCACTAGTTTATGACTTTCTTTTTTCCAAAGAATTTTTTATTTTTTTTTATTCTCTTGCCATTTTAAGTATACATTCATATAATTGTTATTCTTTACATTTATCATTCTTATACATTTATTATTTCATTTAATCAGTTATAATGTACAGTTTGGATTCCTTTATTTACCATCCCTTCCTCCTTTTGTAACACCTTGTTTTCCCTTTCTTTTCCCCCTTCTCTCCTTTCTTCCTTCCTCCTCTCCTTCCTTATTCCCTTACCTTTCTCCTAATCTTCCTCTTCCCCTGCCTCCCCCCTCTCCTTCTCTTCCTCTCCCTTCCATCCTCCTCTCCTTATCTCTTTCTTCTTTCCCCCGTTTTCCTTTCATTCCTCCTCTCTCCCTTTCTTTTTCTATTATTGTGTGTGTATATTTCAAAACTCAGTTTATGTTTCCTTGGAATGGTATTTCCGTCAACCCAAATATAATTTAGTATCATTTCTTATTCCCTTACCTTCGCCAGTCTACCCTAGTTATGTTTCCATCCCCCTTTAAATCTCGCTCTTGAATATATACTTATATATTTAATATTTTCTTTTCTGTTTTCCCCTTCTTCCCCCCTTTTCCATTTAACAGTGCTTCGCCTGGGTTCTGTATCTTCTCCCTACTTTCTTTTCTAGCTTGCTTTCTCTTGCCAATCATAAAATCTTCCCCATGTCTAGAAGTACTCCGATTCCTCTTTGTCCTTTATCAGTTCATGACTTTTTCTTGCCAGAGTTGTTAAGTGAATCATTGCAGTTATTACGTTTGTACCATGATTGTTAAATGAATCTGGATTCCCTATTGACTTTGTCAGAAGATCACAAAAGGGGATCACGTGACCACCACCACCACCCCGGGGGGGGGGGGACACCATGACCATCATAAATACAAGTCAGTTGCCAAGCCTCTGAATTTTGATCATGTGACCATGGGGATGCTGCAAAGGTTGTAACTATGACAAGCGGCCATAAGTCACCTTTTTCAGTGCCGTTGTCACTTTGAACGGTCACTAAATGAACTTTTGTAAGCCGAGGACTGCCTGTGTTCTGCCTGTGTTTTAGAGTCCAGAGACTTACGCCAAAAAGTGATTTGAGAACCTGTTTGCCTCAGGGATCGTCTTCTGGGCTCATGGCCTTGGTTCCTGGGTTCTGCCCACTCTCAGCTCAGTTGGACTGATGAGCAAAAAAAAAAAAGCTTTCTTATTTAAAGGATTTTTTTTTCATTTCTTTCCAATGAATTGAGGGCCACGTGACTTAAAATATTTTTCCCATATTGTATCTGTCGCATGTTTGCATGACTTGCTCACCTTATGTTCTCTTGTGAGGGTTGATCTGAAAACTGGTTTATGGTTCATTGGGATGAAGTTGGTATTGGATTTTGCAGGAGGGAGTATGCATTCATAATTGTAAGGGTTTTAAGGGTTTCATTGTAAGGCTGTGAAGAATATCAAGTCTGTAGGAAATCGGGGTCCTGTAAACACTTTTTTAGCCTGTGTGGGTGGCCATAAAATCAAGTTTCTAGTAGAAAATGTGACACTAAATTATATTACTACTGCAAACGGGGGGGGGGGAGGTGGGAGGAATTGATTACTATGTACAATATTCTTAAATTTTAAGTAAATGCTTAATATTTCCTTCCCGAACAGCAACACAGTTGTAAATTTAGTTAATGTTTTATACATTATACACACACTTTTCTTTGTTCTAATAGGAGAGCAAACCTTAAGACATTGAATGGTTTTAATATGATATACAAATATTTGTTCTTTATCAAGAATGGCGAGAGGACTGCTGGGAGCCGATGGGAATTAATACAGACTTCGCTCCTCAAGAAATTCACATGTTCACGAGATTTGAAGGTAAAAGACTTTTCAGATACAGACTGTAATCAGCCAATCCTCACCTAATCACCAAAGTTTTCATTGCTAGGCCACTGAATTGGTGGTTGGTTTTATAGGGTTGGGTGTGGTGGTTATTTTATTTGGCATGGGCCTTAAGAGAATCACTGCAGTTAAGGGAATCAGTCTTGCGGCGAATTTGCTTCCTCCATTTGTTGTTGGGAAGTAGCAATCCCGCGGTGGCTCAGCAGTTATAAGGCAGCACTGCAATCTGACTCACTTCTCACTGCCAGGAGTTCTCTCACCAAGCTCAAGGTTTACTTTACTCATCATACAATGAAATTAAATGCCATCTTCAGTGTAAATTATAACTATAAAAATAAAAACACAAGCACACATCCTTCACATGCTATATAATTGAAATTGAAAACCTGATATTGCATTAATATTGCACTATACCATAGAATTCAACATGGCTATTGCCCTGCGATAGAAACTGTTTTTCAGCCTGTTTGTCCTTGTTTTTATTATCCTGTACCGTTCTTCAGATGGTAATAGTTTTTTAAAAAGTGCCCAGGTTGAGATGGATCTTTAAGAATGTTTTGAACTTTCTTAAGGCAGCAGGACCAATAAAGCTCTTCCAAAGGGAGGAGAGGGCAACCAATGATCCTCTGAGCAATGACGTTAACCCTCTGGAGCGCTGTCCTGTCTGCCACTGGGCAATTAGCAAACCATACACAAGTGCAGTAAGTTAAAATACTCTCAGGTGCAGCAGTAGAAGGTCACCAGCAGTTTTTCATAGAATGAAAAAGAAGTCTCTACTACCTGAGACTTCTTTTTCCTGAGAAGTCTCAGGTAGTATTATCTCTGCTGGGTCCTTTTGACCAGTGCTGCAATATAAGCACCCCAGGTGAGGTCCTCTTTTAGGATAACACCCAGAAAATTAAAACTGGCCACTTGCTCCACTTGGTCTCCATTGATAAGCAAGGGCTGGATGTCTGATCTATTCCTTCTGTACTCCACTATAAGACTATGGTCTTATAATGTTAAGGTCCTTGGTCTTATTGGTTTTAAGGACCAAGTTATTGTCCCCACACCACAAAAGCAACTGGTCCTCCTCAGGTTGACTAGCCTTCCAGCCTTTCCAGGGTCGGTACAATGAGGACCCTGATTGTTGGGAGTAAGAGGCTGACTCTAAACTGCTTAGAGAAGACTGTAAAGCCCTGTGAAGCAGTATATAAGTCCAAATGCTATTGCTATCTTCCTCCCTCTCTTCCCAGTAGTTAAAATCTAGTGTAGGCAAACTCTGCCCACTGCCATCAGTTTGAATCTCACCAGGCTCAAGATTGACTCAGACTTCCATCCTTTCAAAGTGGGTAATATGAGGACCCAGATTGTTGGGGGCCAGAGGCTAACTCTGTAAACCACTTAAAGAGTGCTGGTAAAGCACTACAAAGTTGTATTTAAGTCTTACCGTATTTTTGGAGTATAAGACCACTGGAGTATAAGACCCATCAAGACAAAATAAACTGTTGTAACTTTGAAACATCACCAAGGGAATTGTCCTAAGATGAGGACTGCCTCTATTTGCTTTATGGTCCTCCCTGCCTGAGACTCACTGAACACTGCAATTTGGTTTTACAACCTGTTTTTCAAAATGTCGGAGACTTCTGCCATGAGAATGCAAACATTTATGAAATTAGGTTGGGAATGGTTTTTAATAAGGAATCATGGTAGTTAGAAAGCGGCAGAATTTTAGCATTGATTCCTTACTTAAGCTGTATTATTGACTGGCTTGCTGGCTGAGGAAATAACTGCTTTATGCATTTCCAGGAATTTACAAGTAAATGTAACCTTTATCTTAACTATAATCAGTTATAAATGTGGCAGTTGACTTCTTGCTCATCATAGGGCTGTTATAGTTACAATTCATCATTTTGGATAAGAAAATACAGTTTCTTATTAAAAGACTGACTTTTTTTGCGGAACCCAGTGATTTTTTTCATAATTTTAAAAAGTCAGTGTTAAGAAAGAGAGACAGACATTACACATTAAGAATATTTGCTGGCTGTAGTTACTTACCGGAACTATGCTCTGGTCTAAGTATTTCTTCCCTTGAAGGAATTAAAATAGTACAGTATTTATGCATATAATTTCATCACAATTTCTTGATAGATCCTAACTATATTTAACTGCAATGCCAGTTACAGATATTATTTGCTTCTGGATCATCTCAAATTCTTGTTCTGTTTTCCTTCCCTCCCTCCCTCTCTCCTTCTATCTGTTTTGAGTCAGGAGAGGATATTCTCCATTTAGAATTATTCCAAGTGAATAGGTTTACACCAGTTCAAGAGCTCATTTGGACTACATGCTAGTTTCAGGCTTAAGACTGGTTTAAGGTCCAGCTTACCTGCGCAGTTAGCATCTCTCTGTCTCTCTCTTAAGTTTTGGACTTCTGTGATTGAAAAGTTTCTTAGAAGCTGGAGAGGGGGTTAATATTTCAGTTTCCCCTTTCAGGGATCAGATTGTTTTCTTTTTGGCTTCAAGGAGCAGAAATTCAACAAATTTCACAGCCCTGGTTGTAACAATAATTTGGCAACTTAATCTATGCAAAAAAACTCAGTCTCCTCCTATATGGGCTCAGATTTGACTGATAGCTAGAAGACACTTTACTAGAGACCAGGTTGTGTTGTTGTTATTGTTGTTGTTATTATTAATATTAATTTTATTGACCACCTACCCTACCACAAGGTAACTCTGCACATTAGCTCAAACATAGATTGGATTTCTTGTGGTCAAAGGTTTCATTATTCGTAGCTATGGCTTTTGCACTCACACAGTGGCGGCCAATGTAATGAAGCCCACCCCTCTGCTTCATCTCTGCTTGCATTCCGAGCAGGCGGGTGATAAAAATGAATCTGAAAACTGGAATTGATCACCCATGCTCACATCTCAGTGCTTATTCTTCTAAGCTGCCACCTAATCCATTGAGAGAACTGGCTGGCCTTAATATGACAGAATTGCTGTTTAAGCTGAGGCGGGGGGGGGGATGGCTGACTTGAGTGATTGATAAAGTGGAGGAGCTCAGACGAATGACCTCACGCTTCACAGTGAGATGAACATCTGGCAGTGTGGCTGGATTCCCTAACATGAAAAATGGCCCAGAGATTTGTGGCAGACTTGGGTAGCCTAAGAATGGTGTCATTGCACAACTGAGCAACCAAAATGGTGTTATTGGGTGAGTTGATCCAAGAGTCGATGCACATTCAGTTCCTTTATTCAATCAGCCTTAAAGGTGGAGGAAAAAATGGCAATAATTTAAGAGACAGCCAATCAATACTAACTGATTGCTCAGAAATTTGATTATTTTTTAATTTTGCAACATCTCAACATGTATATAGGACTGCCAGTTTGGTCTAGTAATTAAGTCATTGAGCTAAAAAGCAAGAGAGGCTGAGTTCAAGTCCTGCCTTACCTATGAAAGCCATCTGGGTGACTTTGAGCCAGTCCCTTTCTCTCAGCTTAACCTGCCTCACAGGGTGGTGGTGGTTACAGGAAAAAATTGGAGGAGGAAAGTCTGTTGGATATGTTCCCTATCTTGAGTTGTTTGTAAAAATAGTAAAGGCAGGGGATGGATGGATGGATGGATGGAGGAGGGGGGAGGGAGGGAGGGAGAGAAAGAGAGAGAGAGATCAAAGGTTGTGACCACCCAGTACTCCAAGACTAATTCAGTGAAATTAAATTTTTTTT